TGTCAAATAAACTGATTTCCTTGAATTAATTCTGTTCAGATGAGGCATGACGAATGGAGACCGAAGTTCCTGCTGTGTATTTGTTTTTTGTCAGCTGGCATGTGCTGTTTGTCCTTGCAGAGTCTGCAGTGGGGTGCTCAGCATCAAGCCCCCCATCTGGAGCTGAGGACTGGACTGGGCTGAGCTTTGGGCAAAGACAAGAACAGTCTGTGCCAGCTCACAAGGTACCAAAAGGCAGCCAAAAAAAAAGGAGTGGGGGGAGAGCAGAGCAGGGTCCCGGACTACCCGGTGTAATAGGTTTTCTCTGCCTCTGATCTCAGTGCCTCCAGTCCTGGACGGTGTTTATGAGCTGTGCTTGGTCCTGCTGCACTTCTAGTGTGTAAAGTGAAGCTTGTACATCCATCATGTCAGGTTCAGGGCTTATCACTCTGACTGGAGAGTGGTTACTGCAGCCAAAGTTGCCTTTAGATGGGTCCCTGGGATTATAAAGTAGGGTACTGGGTTGTATTAAAGCAACTGAGCTCATATTAGCAAAGCCTGGCTGTGGAGCCTTTAGATTTACATCGTCTTTTGTCTTGGGCCTGACCTAAATCACAAGCATTTAGGGACAAGAAATGAATTAAGTCCTGTCTCTGTACAGACTAAATCCCTGGCCTCCGCCGAGTGCCTCATTAGCGGAGCCAGCAATGGTCATGTCTTTCCTTGAGACTGTCATAAATTGCATTTATTAATGGCAGATTATAGAAATTTCAGCCAAGTCTTTATCAGCACTTAGGCCAGACACCAGATAAACAGTTGGCTGCAGTTCTGCCCTCTAATAAAATTGTTCATGAAACTTGAACTCAGCTTTGTGGTTTAAACTTTCAGAAACAAGCTGGTTGCTCAGCAGTGTGAACTGGACACTCCCTGGAGCCAAATCCAGCCTGCTGGGATATATCCGCTGAGGATCTAGCCCTGGGCTCTTCCTGGGAGAGTCCTGGCTCCTGCCCTGGCCCCTGGAGGGGGAGGATGAGGAGGAGCAGAGCTGGGGCAGCCAGACAGCCACTGCCCCCATCCCTGCCCTGCATCCCCCGGGCTCTGCTGGGCCTCACTCTCCACACTTTGGGCTGAGCTTCCCTGCACATCTGGCCTGCCAGTCCCCCTCAGAGGGACTGGCCCTTTGCTGCCAGTGCACTAAGGAAATTCCCTGCTGCTGGGAAGAGATTCCCTGCTGCTGGGAAGAGATTCCCTGCTCAGGACATGCCTGGGCTGGACTGGCTGCACAGGACAGAGCTCCCATGGGACTGTGCTCCCAAATTAAAGTGAAGTGACAACACATGTAGTGTCATGTTTGCAAGGGAGGCTGGAGCAGCTCTGGCAAAGTTAGCAAGAGCAGCCCCGGTGACATTTTGCTAAGGTTTTTTTTCAGGTCTTTGAAATCCTTTTTGACATCTGCTCTTTATTACACAACAATATAACTGTCCTTTTAGGAAAAGAGACATTTTTCATTATTCATTTCAAACTTAACAGACACATTTTCAAGTGCCTACAATAACTGCAAGGGATTTGCTTTCAGGTGATTTGGCTACAAGGCTGAGTCCAACTATAACACTGTTTTCTGTTCCACGTCTGCATTTACCTTGGTCACAACTGAAACCAGGTTTTTATCAGAGTGCCTGGGTTTGTTTTTTATTAAAGAAATACTTTGGCAGGATGAGCAACATGAAACTCTGGCAGGAAATCTGAACCTTGCAGTCCTTCCCAAGTTCATCAGCAACAGCATTTTGTTTGTTCTTTGTGGGGGCAACGTGGTTGGTTTTTTTCCCTGTCCCATCTGAGGTGTTGCATCTAGTTTTGTTCTATTACCTCCAAGTGGGAAAAAACTTGGAAGGGTTTTTAAGCAAAAGTAATATGTGAGGAATTTAAGGCAGAGGTATGCAGCACTGAAAAGCTGACCTCTGTTTCCCCTTTCATGCCACATTGCATTCCCTATATTTCTGTTTCTGGAACACTGGTGCTGCTTTCTGAGAGCAGGAGGCTCAGGAGGAGTGGCCAAGGTGCAGCAGCTGTAAGGACGAGCATGAAATGTCCCCTGACTTGTGTCCTCAGTAACTGCTGCTACACCATCAGCACTTGCACAGAATATGTTGCAGGCACCTTTGTGTTTGTTTTCATGACTCACACAGGACCTCCGAGTCCAATGAGTGTTGGAGATGCAAAGTGGGGGGAGATCCAGGCTGGGGGATGCTCTGAAGGACAAAGAGGGATCTTGGAGCTCAGCAGGTCCTGCTGCTGGGAGAGAAGGTCAGGAGGCTGTTTTCTTGTTTGGTTTTGTGTGGTTTAGGGAATGATTCAGCTTTTAGGAAACAAGGGGAAACATTTTCTACAGAAAATTCTTGTTATCTTGGCATTTTGCTTGTTTCCTCATAATCAGAATCACAGAATTGTTGAGGTTGGAAAATCCCTTTCAGCTCACTCAGTCCAGCTGTCAACACAGCACCATCACCATGTTCACCACTAAACCAGGTCTCCAGGTGCCACATCTACGTCTTTTGAATACTTCAGGGATGGTGATTCCTCCACTGCCCTGGACAGCCTGTGCCAGGGCTGGACAGCCCTTTCTGTGAAAAAAATCTTCCTCATGCCCAATCTAAACCTTTCTTGGCACAACCTGAGGCCACTTCTGGTTTTGTACGTCAGGGGAGATTTTCTGATCTCTGTCACAGGCTTTTAACTTTAAAATATTAATTTCCCTTTTAGAATTGCTAAAAATTAATTAAGGAAAAAAAAGAAAAAAACTTATTATCATGTAGTTTCCTAAAGCACACAACCTCTTTTGGTCAGGTAGGCAAAGCTGGAACTGTGCATGGGCATTGGTGAGGGCATAGCTGAGAAGTTAACACAGATATTTCTGTACCCCGCAGCTCAGTTACTGAAGATGCCTCTGGTCTTTTTCAGTGTAAGGCAAATGCCAGAAGAACAAAGAGAAAGCTCCTGTCCTCAAAGGGCAGGGGAGCTTTAGCTATAAAGACTGTGGTTTCCTCATCCCCATCCGAAGCATTTTGATAAAACAAGAGACAGCATGTCCCTGGGCTTCTCTTCCTGCCCTCAGGGCTGCAAGTGTGTAGTCCCAAAATATCTGAAGGTTATCTTGCAGGCCCAGGTCTCTGTTTGCTCCATGAGCGCTGTCTGCTGACACTGATTCTCTTCTGAGAGCTTTGCTCTCGTGACCCCAACACACCCGACAGAAGGTAAGGGCAGTTTACTCTAAATTTAGAGCACAGTGGGTGCAGCTGGGATGAAGCAGGACGGTGGCAGAGCAGCAAGGCTACAGGCTGGCTGGGTTTGACTTGTTCCTGAGAGCTGAACAGCATTTGCTTTATTTTATTGTGTTCACTGGTGCAGTTTCAGAAGAAATCTTGAGCTATCGACTCACTCCAGCCCTGAGCACAGTGAGCTCCAAAGAGCTCTGGGGGTGGGCAGCCCTTATGGGTGCCCTCTGTCCTGACCTTGTCCAGCCTGCCCGGGACCTTTCTATCTTGTTTCCCTTTTGCCAGATATTATTTCTGGTCTCCATCCAAAGCCAATCCTAATGCAGGATAGTAGTGTTAGTCCTGAGAGTGATGGGTGTCCTGCAGTCAGAGCCCCTTTCCAGCCTGCAGGGGGGAGATGGCTTGGGGCAGTTTACTCCAGACAGACACTGGGGGCAGTTTAGGCCTGACCCCTAAAGTTCTTTTACTGCTGTGCTTAACTCCAGAGCTACGATTGTGTCCAACTGATTTTAAAGATTGTAGCACTTCCACTCTTTCAAGGCACGGTAAAGCCAGTGTTGCAGTCTGAGGAAGTAGCTCCACAGTCTGAGTTGTTAATATAATTTATTAAGCAGCTCATTCTGATGATGATGAGAACATAGAACATTTAATTTTACTTTATTTTTTTTTACCCAGAGTAAAATGGGGCAGTTCAATTTCTGGGAAAACTGTCAAACATGCTGTTGGGCATTCATGGGGGGAGAGGTGGGAGGGAGAAGGATGTGCCACTGACTAATTAAAGGCATGCTCTAATGGGCTCCAACATTTAAACAAGCTCCTTTTCATACATATATTGGGCCATTTTAGTATTAAATGGCTCCATTAAATGGTTTTCCAGCCCTTAAACTGGCCAGACATCTATTAAGTCAGTGGGAGTTTAGCCTACATGAGAAACAGAGCATCAGTTCTTCTGCCAGGTGAAATTTGTCATTCAAAAGCTAAACTTGTGTTTAGAGAAGCCAACAAGCTAATGTAAACAGGGGGATAAAGCTTAAATCCTGCTGAGCTGGTTTTGCAGAGGTGATGTGTTCTCCAGTAGTTCCACAGGAATGAGAGCCAGGGACCACGAGAGCTGGAGGAGTGGGGACCACTTGGGACAGGCTGGGAGGGAAGGGGGTGGCAGGGAGCTGAGAGCAATCCCCTGCTCTAGAAGAGAGGGTGTTCTTCCAGCAGCGAACAAAGATTGTGACTTCAAGAGCTTCCCACAGCCCACTGTGCTCAAAGCTTGCCTTTGGAGGCTGAGAGGTGAGCTTGTCAGAAATCCTGAAAAATATCTGGAGAAAGATTTTAGGTTGTTTGGTTCTGATGAGGTACAAAACTCCTACAGAAAAAGAGGCTCACCACCAACCTGGTCCTCACTAGTGCTTTCTAGAGTAAAGATTAACAATTAAATGCAATTTCATGTATTATTGCAGAAATGTCAGAAAGTTCTTCATTTTCCAGAATTGTAAAAAGAGTTTGAGAAACAAAGAACTGTTGGGGAAAAGAGGGACAGTAATTCGTTTGGGGTTTTTTTTCCTATGAAAAATACTTTTTAATGTTGCCATGTCCATGAAAAACAAAGATTGTAGCTGGTTGCTGCTGGACACATGAGCCCCAGCCTGGCTCCTGCCTGCCCACACCGTGGGCATCCACGGCTGCGCCCGGGCACGGAGCTCAGCCAGGGCTGGGGCCTTGGGGCTTTGCTGGTGGGACCACCCGGACACTTGGTGAGGGCTCAAACTCTCTTTATTTGTACATAAGAGGTGGGCCAACCCCTACCCTGGTGGGGGGCCCACATTCAGACCTGGTTGGAGTGCAGGACCAGGGGGCTCAGGGGCAGAGGGGCTCGTTTGGGTGGCTCCTGGACCTGGAGGTTCTGCAGCTGCGGCAGCATAGCCGGGTATAGGCTGGGAGAGCTGAGATGGAAGATCTGCTTCCTCCTAACCGAGGTGTTTTGCTGGGCTGGAGCAGGAGCAGAGAGGAGCCTGTGGAGAGAGGAGGTGGCTGAGGCCCAGCTGCAGGGGGCACACAGGGACTCTGCTGCCCAGCAGGGCCCAGAGCTGGCAAGGCTCAGCAGCACGGGGGAGCTGCTGGCACACCTTGGCCCCGGTGGACACCTGCCCCTCAAGGCCCCAGCGAGCAGGGGGATGGCTCTGGGCAGGGGCCCTGGGCAGGAGCGGGCGCCAGGGCACGTCTGCCTTCCAAGGGCAATCTCGTCCCCGCTCCTTCACCTCCCCACCTTGCTTTGCCTCTGCCCGTCCTGCTGGGGCTGCTCTTGGCCAGGCAGGCTCACTTGGAGCCAGCACTGGCTCCAGTCCCAGCGGGCTCCCCAGGAGGGGCCCAGCAGCTGAGAGGCCAGGACAGCACAGGACAGCAGCAGAATCCTCAGCAGAGTTCTTTGGCCAAGGACTAACTGGCCGCTCCACAGCAGCCAGGCTGGGAATGTTCCATGGCTAGGAGCTGCCTTCAAAAGAAGCTGTTTGAGGGGGAGATCAACAAACAACTCACCGTTTTCTTTCCCACCAGTACCAGATTCCAGCACAGCACAACATGATGACAAGCTGCCAGCCCAACACACTTGCCATTATCACAGCTAAACATCGCGCTCCTGAACAGAAACCTCTACCAATGCTCTCCTGGATCTTGGGAGCATTTATTGTGGCACCAGCTGCATCTGTGGGAGCAATTTGGAGCGTTAGCCCATCCTGGGCACCCCTGCTAAGCCGACAGCACGTTGGACACAGCCAGGACATTCTCTGTTTCCCTCAGTGCAGGCGCCTGGAGGCTCCCAGCCCTGGGGACAGGCTGTCCCACCAAAGCAAACCCAGAAGGCCGGGAGGAGAGCCCGGGGGGAGCGGAGCTGCTTGAGCAGTCGCTCCTTTGAGGGACACGCACACAACCCATCCCTGCAGCAGGCAGTGCCAGCCTCATCCTTCCCTGCCCTGGGACAGCTCCCACAGCCCAAGAGGACGAAGTCAGGCCCTCTCAGGAGACACGTGAGCCCCTGCCCAGGGTGGGAGCCAGGGAGCGCTCCGGCCCTCGGCTTGCGGGAGGGATCCCGCTCTGGGCTGCTCTGGTGCCTTGGGCCTCTCGAGAATCAGGGCCAGCTCTGGGAGCAGCTGCAGCGGGAGGGACCTTGGGGCCAGAGTCCCATTTCCCAGGGGCTGCAGAACATGCTCCAGATGCCTCCAACCCGTCGTGCTTTCAGCTTTGGCTGCTGCTATGACGGGCCCGAGCGGGCACTGGGGGAAGAGCTGCTGCCACACAGCCACCCCGATGGCCGACACCGATGACCACGCCACAGCAATTACCCCGTGTGCCCGTGCCTGGCATCGCCTCCCTGCCCGCAGCAGAGCCTGGCACGGAGCCACTGCTTCCTTCAGGGAACATTAACTTGTGAACAGCCTCTTGGTCCATCTCTGGGGAAAGCAAGAGGGACACCTGGATCAGATGGGACCATTCTCCGTTAAGGAGGTGGCATCTTCACGATACAAGGGATCTCCTGGTCTGCAGGGCCCGTGGTGCATTTGGGGCACGGGGTCAGGGGATGCTCAAGGCCTTCCTGCAGAGGCCGGGGAGAAGCTGCAGCCAGGCCAGGCGGGGAAACAGCCCCGCAAGGCGGGAAAGCAGCAGCGGGGCAGCGAGGCTGCGATGGATCCCTTCCCGCTGTGCAGCCACTGCCTGTCCACACGTGGATCTAAAGCCCCCGGCTGATGGGTCTCACGGCTCAGGCTGAGGAAACAGACCCACCTCTCTGTTTCTGCAGCATTTCCTTCAGGATTTGTCTTAGGGCTTCGAGTGACTCCTGAGACTTTTTCTCTTCAGCTGGGTTCTTGCCTCTTGGAGGACCTGAATAGGAAGTAGTTTGACATGAACGGATTACAGAAAACCAGTGGTCAGCCTGTGAGGTCAGCAGGGACATGCAGCATCCAGCTCAGTACCAGGAAAAGTCCTCCCTTCAGACACCCCTGTAACTCAACAGGCAGAGACACTTGTGTCATCCCTGGGGCTCTGCACGGGCAGCCCTGAGGTACAGTGGGGGTGAGGGGATCCCGCAGGGACAGGGCACACACGGGCAGGTCTCTGTCCAGGCCCCTGCAGAGGCGCCCGGCTGGCCCAGCTTTGGGCTCTGAGCTGGCAGCTCTCCCAGGGGGAAAAGCCACAACGTACCCACACGACCTTCCGGAGGCTCAGTCCTGGGCCCCACTCCGGGTTCCTGATCACCGTCACCCCCAGGCTTGGCTGCAAAGAAGGGCAGGACAGAAGAGCTCCCGTGACCCAGTTCCAGACTCTCCGTCAGGCCGGAGGGGCAGGGAGTGCAACTGGGCAACGGGATCCCTGCAGGGCCCTCATCTCTGCCCTCCCCTCAGGAGCAGGGGCAGAGCTCCCACAGGCCAGCAGTGGCCCCTCGCTGGCACCAAAGGAACCCCACGCAGAGCTGTCAGGGCACCAGGGACTCCCTGGAGCTGCCCCAGCTCCAAACTCAGCCCCAGTGAGGGCCATGGCTTGGCAGCCGCAGCGGGAGCACCTCCGGCTCCGAGGGGCCGGCAAAGGAGCCGCGCCAGGCACAGCCCCCCGGGCACAGCCCTGGGCCTGGCCCCTTCCCTCTCTGCCCTTCTCCGTATCTGCACAGCAGCCACGGAGGGAACAACTGGTATGTGCATGGAAAGAAGATTAAAAGTTAAATGCTCCTTTCTCCTCCCCCTGACAGGGATCCGGTGGGATCCCTCTTGGGCCTGAGCAAGGAGCAGACCAAGATTGCCACAGTCCAGCAACCTTGAGAGGGTCTTAAGGAAAATGGCACATGAATGAGCTCTTGCCACATTGAAAGGGATTATTTTGTCAGGAAAGGGACACTGAGAACTTGCCTCCAGGTTGCTCCAGGAACTTCAAAGCATCATCCACAAGAATTTCTAGATAATCAAAGTCACGATCCCCATCTAGAAGCAAACAGAGATGGGAACTGTTTCCATGGCATGCTGGGATCCCCTCCTGCCTCAGAGAACTGTGGCACTGCAGGGGCTCGGGGGTCCCCGTGGGGGCCAGATGTCAATGGACATGGCCAGAGCTGCAGAGGGGCCTGGGCAGCTCTGGGCTGGCTCCTGGCCGCTCTGCACACTCGTTCCAGGCCCTGTGCAACATCCCTGGGGGAGCGGCTGGAGCAGCCAAGGGCCCTTTGGGGCTCTCTCCGCACCCAGGAAACCCTGGCTAAAGCCCTGGGGAAAACCATCCCAGACACTTCCCGGGGAGAAGAGCCCGCTGGCCGGGAAAGGTGCCCCAGGCCGCCGGCTCACCTGCTCCCCGCGCTGGCACCGGAGCAGCCTGGGCAGCCCTGGCGTGCAGGGCCACTGCCAGGAGGAGGAGGAGGAAGAGGCGGAGAGCAAGGGCCATGGCCCCTCGCCCTCACACCGTCCGGCAGCTACTGCTGCCGCCGCTGTCCTGACACCCCTGTGCTGACACCGCTGTCCTGTAATTGCTGTCCAGTAATCTCAGTTCAAATGTCACCAGATGGGCCGCCGCTGCCACAGCAGTTGTGGTCAGGGACTGAGTAGTTGGTCATTATGGTGCTGTGGGACCACGGGGCTCTGTGAACTCACAGCCCCGCTGTGACCTCACGGTCTGGGTGAGATCGTGTGGGGATGGATCTCAGGAGCTGCCCTCCCAGCCAGGGGAGCACATCCCGCCACACAGCTCTGTCCAGTCGACTTGTTGGCCTGAGAACTGATTTGTATGACATTGCACAAGTGAGACGTTTCATGGCTCTACTGCAATCTCAATGCCAGCTCCAACATTCACCTCCTGTCGGTGATTCCCGCTCTTGCCGGCAGCACCTGCCAGCTCTTCCCCCGCCACGCCGACACCGAGTGTGTGCTGTGCACTCAGGGCTGGGGGGTGGCCCATATTGAAACAGGGAAGGACTTGATGCCTGTAGTGGTTTGAACCTTGTTTTCCCCAGAGGCTAAGAGAAGTGGTAGACCCCAAGGGGTGGAAACCCCTGGAAGTTTTGAAATTCTGCCCAATGGACGCTCCTGCAGAAATGTAAACATACCACAACCAGACCGGAAAAGAAGAGTTGTAGTTTGGTTGTTGTAGGAGAGGTGGCCATGTTGTAGAGCCACGAGGAAGGGGCTCTGAGCCCCTTGGGCCCTCTGGCCCCCTCCCAGCCCCTGGCTGGGGGGCTGCAGGGACCTGGAACAGCATAAAGCTGGGCTAGGTGCCTGTAGTATGCCGGGAGATGTTTTCTCCATGGGCACAGAGCAGCAGCCGACGCTGACCAGAGAAACGGTGGCAGAGAGCCAGAGATAAGGACCTGAACTGAAGGAGCAGAGAAGCAACATGCAGCACTGCAGAGGAGACTCCTGGAAGGAGAGTCGAGGAAAGGAGAGCCAGCAGCTGAGAGCTACAGAGTTCTTGGGGGTAAGACTGATACCAGATCCCCAAAACTCCTTTGAGACCTCCTGGAAGGAGGAAGATGATGGACTCTTACTGGAAAGAGCCTTGAAGTGCGACATGCACTGTAGAAAGGAGCTAGAGAGCTCCGAGAGGAATGCAGGGGGAGTTGACCTTGGCTTCCCCCCCCTTGCACTGCTGCCACGGTGGCAGCCTGAGAGACAGGGCACAGAGGCCCTGCAAGAGATACCAGACCGTCACGAAGGCCCCCCTGTGTCTTCGTGATATGACGTGGTGAAACGACCTTGTCTGGGGTTACGAAGCCCACGGAAGACCCCTCGGTTGTGAGGCGATGGGGCCGAGAGAGGGGCTTGGATACCTCCCTCGTGGAGTGCTGGCAGAAAGCCAGCTATCAGCTGCTGCATGCATGAGAAGAAGAAACCTGCTGCCTCAGAAGATGCTGCTGTTTAAGGACTGAAAGGGATCTGTCCTTCTTTCCCTGCTGGACTTTTATTTGGAGGGGAGAAGAGATCTGATCATTGTAAATACTATATGTCATGGTAGAGATAGTTTGTGATCATGTGTATAATGTGATGTTATATTTATTTGTACAGTCATTGTAATATATTCCCTTTTCCCCACTTTGGAGTCTGGTGTGTTTTGTCTGGAAAAACCCATCTCACATTAGGTTGAGATGTGGGAGGGGGAATGGAGCTAGGGAATTAGATGTTGGGGCTATCTCAAACCATGACATAAATGGTAGCAGAGGATGGTTGCGAACCATCGAGGGAGATGGTTGCGAACCATCGAGAGAGAGAGATAAGAGCCATGATGCTTGTGTTAACAGAAAGAGTTTTCCAGACAAAACACAGACTGTACCATTGTAGAGTAAGTAAGGCTATAGTAATGTAAGTTAAGTATTAAGAGTAGAGTTAAGTTTGTGATGATGCTATATTGATGTGTAGTAGAGAGATTTTGGTTATATTTTAGTTTATTGAAGATTGAATGTTGATTAGAGTTTTTTTTTCAGTTGTTGTGATATGTTGACATTTCGCAGGAGCGAGGGGTGGAGTGTTGTAGTGGTTTGAACCTTGTTTTCCCCAGAAGCTAAGAGAAGTGGTAGACCCCAAGGGGTGGAAACCCCTGGAAGTTTTGAAATTCTGCCCAATGGACGCTCCTGCAGAAATGTAAACATACCACAACCAGACCGGAAAAGAAGAGTTGTAGTTTGGTTGTTGTAGGAGAGGTGGCCATGTTGTAGAGCCACGAGGAAGGGGCTCTGAGCCCCTTGGGGCCTCTGGCCCCCTCCCAGCCCTGGCTGGGGGGCTGCAGGGACCTGGAACAGCATAAAGCTGGGCTAGGTGCCTGTAGTTATGCCGGGAGATGTTTTCTCCATGGGCACAGAGCAGCAGCCGACACTGACCAGAGAAACGGTGGCAGAGAGCCAGAGATAAGACCTGAACTGGAGGAGCAGCAGAAGCAACATGCAGCACCAGAGGAGACTCCTGGAAGGAGAGCCGAGGAAAGGAGAGCCAGCAGCTGAGAGCTACAGAGTTCTTGGGGGTAAGACTGATACCAGATCCCCAAAACTCCTTTGAGACCTCCTGGAAGGAGGAAGATGGTGGACTCTTACTTGAAAGAGCCTTGAAGTGCGACATGCACTGTAGAAAGGAGCTAGAGAGCTCCGAGAGGAATGCAGGGGGAGTTGACCTTGGCTTCCCCCCCCTTGCACTGCTGCCACGGTGGCAGCCTGAGAGACAGGGCACAGAGGCCCTGCAAGGAGCTTGAATCTCCTGGAGATACCAGACCGTCACGAAGACCCCCCTGTGTCTTCGTGATATGACGTGGTGATACGACCTTGTCTGGGGTTACGAAGACCACGGAAGACCCCTCGGTTGTGAGGCGATGGGGCCGAGAGAGGGGCTTGGATACCTCCCTCGTGGAGTGCTGGCAGAAAGCCAGCTATCAGCTGCTGCATGCATGAGAAGAAGAAACCTGCTGCCTCAGAAGATGCTGCTGTTTAAGGACTGAAAGGGATCTGTCCTTCTTTCCCTCCTGGACTTTTATTTGGAGGGGAGAAGAGATCTGATCCATTGTAAATACTATATGTCATGGTAGAGATAGTTTGTGATCATGTGTATAATGTGATGTTATATTTATTTGTACAGTCATTGTAATATATTCCCTTTTCCCCACTTTGGAGTCTGGTGTGTTTTGTCTGGAAAAACCCATCTCACATTAGGTTGAGATGTGGGAGGGGGAATGGAGCTAGGGAATTAGATGTTGGGGCTATCTCAAACCATGACAATGCCGTAATTCATAAAAATAACCCAAGGCAGGCAATCAGGGCAGCTGCAGCAACGCCAGCACTGTGGGCCTGTGATCCCTCCCTGCCTGCTCCATCCAAGGGATGGCACCTTGGTACCAGCACAAGGGTTAGCCAACAGCAGCAAGGAATTCATCCATTGCAGACTGGACTGCCACGACATTAAAGGAAAAAGGCTGGGTGTCCCTCTACTGCAACTGAGGCTCCCAGTTCCCTTGGCGGTCGCAATAGCATTTGCATTCCGGCAGCCATGGGCTTCCAGTGACTGGAACGGAGAAATGCCATCCTTGGAAAGAGATAACAAGCTCTCCTGCAGGCAAAGGGATGTATTAAACACCAGCAGTGAACGTGGAACTCTTTATTTGGGAGAGCACTTTCTGTTCCCACTCCCTCTGCCCTAAGAACTGAGCAGTGTCCACTGTCACTTTATCCTTTGCTGACTTGAGCCAGCTTTGGATCCAAGTACTTGGAATTGTAACATCTGTCCGAGTATGTCAGCTATGACAACAGTGAATAAGAAGCCCCTTTTTGGGATGTTATGACATTGGTTCTGCAGGGGAATAAACGGAGGGCAGTTTCTGTAAAATGCCTGCACAACCACCCCTGCACATCAGAGGCCACAGGAGGGTGGAGCTAAGGTGTGTTACTCCCTGTCAAGATATTGGTTTTGAGGGGAAAAGACGAAAAAAGCCCCAGGATCAGCCACTCTTCCCGGGGAGAAGCGTTGAAAGTCTCTGCCCCTCAAGACCTTCCCAGCTTGTGGGCCATGGTCACTGCCGTCTAAGGCGTGGCCTCGGAACTCCCAGTGCCAGGCTGCCGCTGGTGTGAGAAGCCACGGGCTCAGCTGTCCCCCCGCAGTGCCTCCTGTGCCCTGGCGAAGCGCCGGGGCTGTAGGCGTGTGTTGGGCTCTCTTAGGGATGAAGAGGCGCTCTTGCAAAGTCGGCGGTGCAGTGCCAAGGGCCTGGTGGTGCAGTTGTCAGACACAGAGAGGTGCAGTTTGCCCAGAGACAAGGGGACCAACCAGCAGCAAAGACTCGGGCCCCCCTTTGGGCAAGGCCGGGGCCCCTTCCCCTGCTGGCCGTGGACTGGGGGCGCTGTGGGCGTGTGGGGAAGGTGTAACCCCGCGGTCCCTGGGCCAGCGGGGGAACGGGGAGGGACCCGCGCTCGGGCACGGGAGAAAAGAGGCTGCGAGCGCTGTCAGGGGCAGAGAGCTCAGCGCGGGGTGTGCAGTGGGGTCTGCCTTGGATTCGCATGAAAGTTTCCGGGAGCTCCTCTGGCTCTTGGCTGCTTTGGAGGCTCTTAACACCGGAATTCTGCTTCGGAAAAGCTCCAGCCAAGGGCTCAGCGAGGAGGCCCCTTGTTGTGCCTCCCCCCGGCTCGTCAGGCTGCCCCGCGGCCCCTTCGCCCCGTGGGTCCCTGGCCCGGCCAGACTGCCCTGGGAAGGGCCCCGGGATGGGATGGGATGGGATGGGATGGGCCCGCCCGCTGTTCCAGCAGCCCGGGCAGAGCAGGGACAGCACATTTGCTCCCAGCTCGGCATGGCCTCGACTCAGAGCTCGGCCTGGGAAGAACAGCAAGAAACCCCCCAAAGTTTAACCCCGCTGCGTGCCTGCCGAGGGACCCCAGCCCCCTGCACGCCTTAGGAGAGACCCCAAAATATCCCTGTGAGCCACACGAGGGACCCCAGCCCCCTGCGTGCCTTAAAGGGTCTCCAGGCACCTGCACACCACAGAAGAGGCCCCAGACCCACTGAGAACCTCATGAGAGGCCGCAGCCCCCTGCACGGCTTATGAAAGACCCCAAACCCCCTGCCCGCCTTAGAGGAAAATTCAACCCCCCCCCATGTTCCTCATGACAGTCCTCAGTCCCCTGCAAGTCTTATGGGGGACCTCAGCCCCCTGCAGCCCTCAGGAGAGACCCCAAAATATCCCTGGGTGCCTCACAAGGGACTGCAGCCCCCCCACACTTCTTCAGGGGCCCTCACGCCTGCACACCAGAGAAGACACCTCCAAATATGCCTGAGTGCCTCCTGAGGGACACCAGTCCCACCTTACGGGGGACTCCAAATTCCCTCCTGCAATGAATGTGCCCTCAGCCCAAGGTCCCTCACCACGGGCTCCCCCAGCCCCAGCCTGGCTCCTGCCTGCCCACACCGTGGGCATCCACGGCTGCGCCCGGGCACGGAGCTCA